GCATGTTGCGATTTTTGTATGAGAGCTTTTTGTAAAATCTGTTTGGAGACGACAGTAACTGAAAACGATTGTCTTGTCTTGGGTCAGAGAAAGTTGATTTTTGGATGCAATGAGTGTAAAACTCAGCTTTTTAGCTGTATTGAAGAGCTGTCACATCTGAAAAAGGCGCATGAGAGAAGTCTAAATGAGATAAAAAGTAAAGACATTATCATGGAAGAGTATCAGATTAAAAATGACGACTTGGAGACAGAGATTAAAAAACTACAAATAGAGATATTGGACAAAAATAAATACATTCTCAGACTGCAGAGAGGGTCCAGAAGCTTTGAGGATCTTGTATATGATAGAGAGGATGAAATGCATAAGAAAATTCAATACCATGTGAATATAATTGAAAAATTAAACAAGGACGTTCAAAAACTAAATGAGGAAATTATTCACCATCAGAAGGAAAAAGAAGAAATAAATGAAAATCTGGAAAATTTAACCAAAAATCTACATGAAAGTGAGAAAAAAATCAAAATATGGCATTAGAAATTACAAAGCTTAATAATTGTAATAAAAATAAAATTGAAACATTGAATATATCTAAAAAGTCTGGAGATCAATCCAACTACAGTCTACAGCTGGAACTTAGAAATCTTGAAGCTGAAAAAGGAACAGAAATTAAAAACTTAAATATCAGAATTAGTGATTTAACAGATGAGAATCGAGAGTTTTTAGAAAAGGCTAAAAACATTCAAAATACTAATAATAAATTAAAACAAGAACTATGTGAACTGAAAGAATTGCAGAAGCAAATGATTGTCAGTCTGAATACCATGGAGGAAGAAAATAAACTATACAACACAGAAATAAGAGAACTTAAAAACAAATTATGCCAAACGCAGACAGCAATGAAGAAGCCCACAACTGAAAATAAATTGCAAAAGGATAAAAATAAAAACTTTTATAGAGAGCCGCAGAAAAAAAGAAACGTGGAAAGTGTATATGACAATAACACGCCCGGTAATGTTCAGCAAAAAACATATGTGCAAAAACCCAAAATATTACTGCTAACTGATTTATATGGCAAATATCTACACGAATACATTAGCAGTTGCTTTGGTGAGGGTTGTATTCTTCAAACAGTTTGCAAACCAAATGCAGGGTTGTCAGATATTGTTATGGATTTGGACTGTTACATCAAGGGCTTTACACAAAATGACTTTGTTATTACATTTGCTGGCTTCAGTAAGTTATACGTTGACAAAAAAAGTATAATAAATCTTTCTAATAAGTGTTTTCAAACTAATCTTTTAATTTGCACTATGCCAGCTAGGTTTTTATCTAGATATAAGCAAGATTTAGTACATAGGATGAATCAAAGCCTTATTAAGTATGTTGAGCTATTGAAGTCTTTTTCGATAAGTGTAGATTTGCTGGATGTGGAGAACGCCTTTCGACCAGCTGACTATATTAGAAGCACACCTTTCTTAAAGAGAAGTGGCCTTAAATCTCTTTCAAAGTTGATGTTTAATTCTATTAACAATTTTTTTAACAAAAAACCCCTCTCTAATTTGAAATTTGTTTCGCTTGTTGAGGAATTAAATAACTTAAATTATGGTCAGTGTGCTCAGTCAGCTCGGTTGGGTGAACGGGCCCCTTCCCAGAATTTAGATTTAGATTTGGATTTAGGTTTAGATTTGGGTTTGGATTTGGATGTGGTAGATTTGACTGCTGAAAGTTGTTTCGAAAGTGACAAGGTTGATTTTTTAGATCCAGGCCACACAAAGCGGTCAACATTAGTTTAGTTGATAATCGGGGCGTAAAAAACAAAAATAACAAACATCAGAATTCTGCTTTACTACTAAATATTCAATCACTCCGAAATAAAACAAACGAACTACACTTGTTTTTAAATGAGAATAATAATCCAAATATAGTCCTTATTACGGAACACTGGCTGAAAGAATATGAATTAGTTAATGTACCTGACTATGTTATTGTGTCAAGATTTTGTCGTTCTAGCAATGAGCATGGGGGTTGTATGATTTTACTGAGGAAGTCTTTTTTGGATCTAAATTTATTTGAACCCATAAACAAATTTAATATTCTGCTAAAAGAATTAACTTTTGAGTTCACTATGATTTTTTCAAGAAAACTAAACCTCTATGTAGTCTGTGTCTATAGATCACCCAAATCTATTACAACTGAATTTTTGACAGGCCTGGATTGTCTTTTGGCTGAAATTTCTTCATCATCTAATGTTCTGCTTGCTGGGGATTTTAACATAGATTACAGAGACGGCAATGCAATATCCACCGTTGCATTAAAAAATATTTTTATCTCTAATGCCCTGAATATGCATGTCACAACACCCACACGTATAACAAAAACAACATCAACCTTAATTGACTATATTTGTTCCAGCTATAGTCAGGAAGAGGTAGAATGTAGGGTAGTTAATTCAGCATTGTCAGATCATGAGGCAGTGGTTTGTGACATATCGGAGCCCAGAGTGATAAATAAACAAAAATCTAGGCGCGGTAGAATATTCGACAGAAGCAGCTTTAATAGGTTTTACCAATCATGTAGCTGGGAAACCTGGAATCAAGTGCTGACATCTGATGAGCCTTTAAGTTCATTTCACCAGAAAACGACAAGGATTTTTAACAATTGTTTTCCTGTAAAAAATATAAAAACAAAAAGGGAAAAACCATGGTTTACCAAGGGCTTGAAAACTTCCTCTAGGAATCTTCGCTGTCTTCATAGGATTAGAAAATATACAGATAGTCCATTTTTTTATTCTTACTTTGGTTCCTACAGGTCTTTGTTTCGTAGACTGATTGCAGCTGCAAAAAAACGGTACTACTCCGATCGTCTAAGTAATTCTTCTAACAAACAAAAAGAATGTTGGCATATTATAAATAATGTTCGTTCTAATAATTTTCAGAGGTCACTATCACATCCGGAAGTTTCTTCTGACAACCTGAATCAGTACTATTGTAATATTGGGAAAAATTTAACAAAAAACATAGGAATTCGTAAAGATCCAATGTTGTATATGTCTCATATTTCAGTACCCAATTCATTTGCATTTACACCAACCGATTTAGCTGAAGTTGAGCAAACATTGAAAGGCATCAAGAACAAAAATGCATCGGGAGAGGATGGATTGTCTGTCAGAGTATTGCTTAATATGCCTGAAGTTATTATAGCCGATATTTTAGTCAAAGCTTTAAATCACTCTTGGACGAGCGGGGTATTTCCTTCGAGCTTAAAATCGGCTTTAGTGATCCCGCTTCATAAGGGTGGAATTGAATCTGACCCTGCTAGTTTTAGGCCCATTTCAATGTTGTCTACCTTGTCTAAATTAATTGAAAAACTAACAAAAACTCGAATCATGTCATATCTTGAGTGCAATAAATTATTGAGCAATGCACAATTTGGCTTTCGCACCAATACAGGTACTAATAATGCTATGTTCAATTTGCTTTCACAACTCTTTTCTTCTTTAAATAAGTCAAATGTATCGGCCGCGGTTTTTTGCGATCTGGCTAAGGCCTTCGATTGTGTAAATCATTCTATTCTTATGAAGAAACTGTACCATTATGGGTTTAGGGGGGTGGTTTTATCATGGTTCGAGTCTTACTTACAAGGAAGGACACAGCGAGTAATTGTTAATGATCAGCCATCAGAACCTGGAAACATTGAATGGGGTGTACCACAGGGGTCGGTCTTGGGTCCTCTCCTTTTTCTGATATTTTTTAATGATCTTGCCAGGCTCAATATACAAGGAAAGTTTACCATTTTCGCTGATGACACTACGATTCTGTGGTCTTGTAGTGATGTTGACACTTTAAGAACCATGATTTCAGGGGATTTGGATCTTCTTAAAGAGTGGTTTGATTCGAATCTGTTAACTTTAAACGTCGATAAAACTAATATAGTTTGTTTTAGATGCAGTATAGATGACCTAAGGGTGGGGGGTGATTCTCTGACAGAGCGTAATCACAGCAAATTCTTGGGCTTGACAATCGACTCTGGCTTGAAATTTGAGGATCATATCGGTATGTTGAGTAAAAAAATTGCGTCTGGTTGTTATGCAGTGAAAACAACAGTTAACGAACTCGGATTCGCTTTTGGAAAGACGGTTTATCATGCTTTGATAGAGTCGCACCTACGTTATGGTATTGCCTTCTGGGGTTCTACCAACAACCAACTACTTCAAATAATTTTTGCTTTGCAAAAGCGGGCAATACGGTATTTGTGTCATGCCAAATTTAGGGAGTCATGCAGGCCTTTGTTTGTGTCTAAAAAGATTCTAACGGTCATATCTTTGTATATTCTAGAATCTGTTTCTCTTATATATGTGCATCAGAATGACTTTCTTCGTCTGTCGGGTGGATACAACACAAGATCTGTTCAGCAGAGAGATTTGCAACTTCCGATTCCGAAATCTACTCTGGTTCACAAGTCAATCTGCTACAATGGCATAAAAATGTTTAACCATCTGCCTCAAAAAATTAAGATGTCCCCGAATCTAAAAATGTTTAAAAGAATGGTTACAGTTTTACTTGTTGATAGGGGCTATTATAGTCTGGAAGAGTTTTATCAAGACAGATTTTGACACAATTAGCTTGGTTGGTTGCATGACATTCAACTCTACACTTAATAAAAAAAAAAAAAAAAAAAAAAAAAATAAAAAAAAGTATAAAACATGCATACAAGAACTGCCCGTTTTTCAACTGATCTGTGATATTTTCGGTTTTTAAAGTGTTAATTTTATGTAAATTTTAAATTGTTTTAAGTTTTAGACTATCTTAACCAGGTTTTTTATGTAGGATATGTATTTTAGTATAAGCAAGCCTTATTTTGTATGTGACTAGTTTTAGGTTATTCGCTTTGTCCACAAAACAAATTGTATAGTTTTTTATGACAATAAAGCACATTATCTATCTATCTATCTATCCATCCACACCACTCTTCACTGAGTTAGTCGGCAGCTTTAAGAAAAGGAGTTTCCTTTCTCGTCTTGTAGTACTGTGGCCCACCTTGCTAGATTGTCACCTTTTTAAATTTTCATTTTCACTTTTCTCTTTTTGTTTATTACATAACAAACTGACATAAAAAATAAAACAATACATTTTTATGTTTAAACAAGAAGTGTTATTTCCTAGGCTCAAAATAACAGTTACTTTTATTTACAACCCGCATCGTAATGACAGATTCAAGTTGAAGTTCTTCGATTGATTTATAGTTTGTGGTTATTTTGAAGTTCCTCACAACATTTGCAACAGTTGTTTTCATTTGCATCATCGCGTGTGCTTTTCCTTAAACAAATATTTCAATAAATAATATATTTTTGTTAAATAAAAATTGATAGATTACCAATACAATCTCTTGATCCTGCAGAAAATCCTAGGAAAGAATACGGTTTTATTTTAAACTGATTCTCTGGAAGAAATCTTGCAGGGTCAAATTTTAAAGGTTCTACCCAATTTGTTGGGTCTCTCTGAATATGGTAAGTACTTATTAAGCATGAAGCACCTGCTGGAAGCACTTTGTCGCCTAAATCTATATCTACATGACATTTTCTGCCTATAAAGGGAGTTGGTGGAAATATCCTGAGAGTTTCCCAAAGCACTGCTTCAGTATATTTAAGATTTGAAATGTCTTCATATGAATCCCCAATTGTATCTAATATTTCTTTGTAGACTTTTTCCTGTAATCAATTCAAATTTATTTTTGTTTGCCGGTTTTATATGTACATACTTGAATGTCTGGATGAATTGCTAATAAAATAAAGCAACTGGCCAGTACAAATCCTGTATTTTCTGAAGCCTAAAAATTAATCATCAAGTAGGCAATTCATATTTTCTTTATGCCTACACTTACTGCAGTGGCAAATAAAATTAATTCATTAAATATTTGTCTTTCATTTGAAATTTGATTGCCGACTGTTAACAACAAATCTATTAGGCAGACTTCATCACTATTTTCGACATAGGCTAAAAAAATGAATAATTATATAATCAATAATTAATATTTCAATTTTACAAAGAATATCTTTGTGTTGTTTCTTTTTGCTCTTGATAATTTCCGCGACATAGGGGATTCCGTCATTGATAAATTTATCTACTCCTTTTCCTGCTGGAAACCATTTGCACCAAATTTTAGGTGAAACAAATGGGTTTAATATTAATCCATTCAATAAATCTTGAAACCTATAAAATATTTTTCTTGTAATTAATCAAATTAGAATTAAAATCAACTTACTTGCTCTCTATTTGACCAAAACGACGTAAGTCGCCAAATATTTCGTTTTCACTAATCCCCAGGGTGCTTACTATTAGACAAAAATACATGTTTTCGAATAAAACAAATAAATTACTTACCAAAGAAACTGGTGAAAGAATATTGAGAGAAATACTCATATATGTTTTCAAGACATTTTAGATGCTCAAGTTCTTGAATTAGATTACAACTTTGCCTGTACTGGCTTGAAAAATACGTTTTGAGCATTTTAGGCTTGAAGCTTTTCAGAAAATGCCGTCTGTTTGGTTTCCATATATCATCTTAAATGTTGAGTGAATAAATTAGTGATTGAATGAATTGTCTGCCTTACAAGATGCCAAAACAAGTCCATCTCCAAAAAAATATTTTAAACTATCATAAATCGCGGCTTTGTCATAACATTTGGGATGGTTTAATATTATGTTTGCATCATTTAAATCGCTCGTGACGTAATTGTATTGGTGTCCGAACCAAAAACTGACTGGAAATCCAACAATTTTTTGACCTATTTCGGCCAAACTAATTGGATTTACTGAAAAAAGATTATGGATGTAATTAAACTGGACATTTACATCTATAAGAAATTGAAATTGAAAAATGCTTCAGAAATAAACTATTGTTTTTTCTTGAGAAGAATAATTTGTTGCACAAAAATCAATTTGCCTTCAGGGAGAACTCGAGCACGGAGAATGCATTATGTGGACTTACAGGAACAATATTGAAACATTTGGATCAGGGTAAAAGGGTTATAGGGGTATTTTTGGATTTGCGGAGGGCGTTTGATACTGTGGCGCATCAAATTTTACTTGAAAGGCTGGAAAAAATGGGGGTAAGAGGGATCCCTAATGATCTAATTAGATCATATCTACAAAGGCATCAAAGTACGCAAGTTCTAGGAGAGGAAAGCGGGAAGCTGAAGGTGGAATTTGGTGTGCCACAGGGAACAGTGCTCTCTACACTGCTGTTTAATGTTTATATAAATGGGATATTATCTATTGCCAGTGAAAGTGGGGAAGTTTTTTGCTTTGCTGACGATGCAGGGGAGTTGTCAGTGGAGATGGTTGGGATAGAGTTAGAGAGAAAGCTGAACTTGTGTTGTCAAAAATAAAAGAATGGTTGGACTATGGCTTGCTATCGTTGAATGTGGAGAAAACTAAATTTGTGACTTTCTCTCTTTCCGTGCGTTCATTGCCGGATTTCCAAAGTATCAAACTTCATGATACTGGATGTGATTTAACTGGCCAATGTAATTGTAATATGTTTATTGAAAGGAAGAGAAGTATTAAATATCTAGGAATATACATTGATGAAAATTTTAATTGGAAAGATCACATCAACTATGTAACAGGCAAAATCAGAAAAATAATTTATAAATTTTATGAATTGAGAAATATTTTAAATTTGAAAACACTTAAGTCAGTTTATTTTGCATTGGTGGAGTCAATAATTACCTATGGACTGGTGGTCTGGGGTGGCGCAGGATCAACAATTATGAAAAAACTTGAAATTGCACAAAAATGGATAATTAAGATCATGTTGTTTAAAAAGAAAAGGTATTCAACAGAATTAACTTATAGGGAAAGTGGAATCTTAAGCCCAAATCAACTTCACATAAAATCCTTAGTCAGATTTATGATAAAAATGCCAAACTATAGAGAAGAAATATCTCATAATTTGGGAACTAGAAGTGCAGCTAAGAATAATTTGGTGCTGCAAAACCCCAGGCATAATGTATGTCAGAATCATATCTATTATGTGGGTCCAAAGATATATAATAGTCTACCAATGCGGCTGAGAGCAAGACCATATAATAGGATTAAAAAGGAAATTAGGGACTGGATTCTGGAGAGTAATATTAGTATTAATTTTGTTGTTTGAAAAAGGGATAGATCAAAAATGATAGGATTTATTCTTTTGTTTTGAATGGTATATGAGTATATATATATTTTTTTTTTGTGGATTGTAGAGTATAGACTTTTGAAATCGATTTTGCATGATTATTTGATATACAATTGAATATGTACATATACCTTGAATATATTGTAGTATTAATGTAAGGGGTGCACACACAGTATTTTGAATACCATTGTGCACCTGAGACATTGGCAATTAGTATTAGTATGAGTATTAGTATTGAATTATTGATTAGTATGTATGTAGTGATAAAAAAGAAAGGAAAGAATATAAATGTATTTTTTTTTTTGCTGATGAATAAATAAATAAATAAGTAAGTAGGCACTTACTTTTTTTGCCAGTTAATAAACCGAAATAAGTGTTCCCAATAAATGGTAAGACGGGCAAAAAGAAACTGTTAACTTTCCAAGAAAACTTTACATATTTCCAGTTTTTCCATAGAAATATCATATAAAAAATTATTAAACACCCAATTAAAACTACAGATATTGGATACATAATTAGTGATAAAGCAACTCTGTTAAAGTTGGAAAATAACTGACTATAAATAAATGGATCATTTATTTAAATAAACTTGATCTAACATTATAATTAATTTAAAAAAAAAAGAAAAACAAATTATTAATTTATGAGTACTAATTTTGATATTATGCCTATTTTTTATTAATCTCAAAGGCCAGGCTTCAAAATAAATAAATGTTTAAAAGAAAAATTTAAGATTTCAGTCTGGTTTGGAAGTAACCATATTATGGCCGTGAATAATAATTAAAATTTGGTGTTTGCAAATTGAAATGAAATACAATAATAAGTGAAAATTATTCAGCATCAATTTACTAATTACACAAGAACTATAGATGTTTTTTTTTTTCTGCTTCATCGGCAGTCAAATAATTGTATTTTTGTTCTTCAAACATGTCTTGCATTGCCTTGCCAGATTTGGCATGATATTCTTCAACTTCTTTTGTAATGGAAAATTCATCAGCAAAAAGATTAGTTTCTCCAAAGGAAATTACCGGAACCAATGGCGCACCAGTTCTCAGAGCTAATTTTTGACGAAACCTTTACGCTACAATTACAATTAATTACTAACAATAAATTGAAACCATTTTACAAAAAGAAAACTTCAGTCTTCGCCACTATTTTTTTCATTTGTTGGAAACGCTGGCAGATCTCCTGACAAAAATCAAGAAGCCACCATGCAAAGAGTTCTCTCTGCAGAAAATCGATAGTGGCATATATTAATCAACAGAAAAGCACTCGTCAGGTCGAAGCCAATGCTCGGTGAGCAAAGCAAGATCAGAAAAACCTACATTCTTCATTAACAGGTGAAGTTCATCACATTTATGTCTTAATGCCTGAACATTCTATAGTACCACAGAAAGATTATACCCAGAACCAGAATCGTTTTTCCACCACAGTGGGATCTTTCTTTAGGCTTTTCAAAATTGGGAATACTGCTTTTTTTTAGCTCTGTATGCCAGCTAACAGCATTAATTTTATTATTTATTTATAATTATATCAAGTGTTTAATTAGTCCAATCTTGCGATTTTTCCACCAGGAAACTAATTCTTGAATTTTGTTTTAAGGTCACCTTACACTTACAGAAATCAATACCAACGAAATCATAGAATTCCAAGTCACAACCACCCAAACGCACGCCCACCTCCGACTTTTGTAGAAAGTAGACGTTGTAAACCAGCAAGACCTGCGTCTCCAATTGAGGGTAGTGAAGAATACATGTCTCTTAAGATACAACAAAAAAGTGCACTTATTATGAGGCATTTACTTAGTCCTAACGAACCCATTGTATCTAAACCAGACCTAGAACCCATTATTGAAACAATAGTTATTGATGACACTGTTGAAGTTGTCTCTGCAAATGATACAAGAAAGTCTTCAAACAAAAATAAGAAGAATAGTGTAAAAGCTAAAGACATATATGAAAAAATTAGAAACTATCTTACAAAGTTAGGCAAAAGCAAGATGATAAATTTCATAAATGCAAGTAGCAGCTCTTCTTTAAACACAGTTATTACTCAAATGCAACAACATGAAAGGCTTGAATTGTCTAGAATTCTTAGAGATATGAAATCGTCATCAGCTAGTCCAGTTGAAGATGATAATAATTTCATTAATCCTGATTTACTGTTGAATATGACAGAACTACCAGAGGATGTAATAAGAACACTTGAAAGAACTCTTAATATTGATTTGAGTTTTTTTAATGAAGGTCTGCATCAAAGCTGCAATGAAGTTTATGAAGATGCATTAGGGGAACCAGACATTTTCATTAAAAAGGAAATAATTTGTAATGAAGATTTTCCATGTAGTCCGGAATCAATGAAAAAACTTCCACCTAATGATGAATATATTATGAACGAATTTCCAGTTAAAGAGGAATTAATGGAAGATCTACCTAATGAGGAATTTTTGGAAGATCTTCCAGTTATAGAGAAGTCAATGGAAAATGTATCTAATGAGGACTTTTTGAAAGACCTTCCAGTTGAAGAGAAATCGATGGAAAATGTATCTAATGAGGACTTCATGAAAGATCTTCCCGTTAAAGAGGAATCAATGGAAAATGTATTCAATGAGGACTTTATGAAAGATCTTCCAGTTAAAGAGAAATCGATGGAAGATCTATCTAATGAGGAAATTCCAATAAAAGAAGAGTCAGTGGAAGATCTTCCACCTAATTGCGAATTCATAGAACATATATCTGGTAATGAAGAATTAATGGGAGATCTTCCACCTTATGAAACAGATATTCCAGTAAAAGAAGAATCTGTAAATTCTGTAAATGTATCAGTTGTTCAAGTTCCAAAACCCATGACTGGATTTAAAATAGAAGATGAAGATATCTCGGACTCATTTAGTGACCTTAAAACTCTTCTTGCTGCTGAAAATAAAGATAAGGAATCGATAGATCAATATTCTATTGAAAGTCCTCCACTATCAATAGAGGAAACTGCTAATATAGAACTTAATGAAGAAACCTATAACTTAAATCAAAGTTCAATTAATAAAGTTGAAGCAACTTTGAAAGAAATTGTAGAAGCAGAATCGAAACGAGTACACTCAAATGTTGATTCCATTTTGGTAGATATAAATTTAATTGATGAATGTTGCAAGCACCTTAACAAATACAAAAATGTGCTTATACGAGCACTTGCTTACAAAAATAAGGATTGTCAATGTCCTGAGAAATCAATACAGCCTGTTGTAATTATTGCCACATCAGATGAAGACAACGGAGTAGGCAAAAAACGGAAATTAGGAACAAATGTTCACAGTGATCTGCAAACTCAACAATCGCAATCACGGACTTGTAAAATTCAAAAATTAGATCAAATTAATCAGTTGAAAATAAACCCAAATCAAGAGGCAGTTGAATGTGAGACAGAATCTTCGGCAGAAGTATTAAAACTTCCTAAAGTGCAAGGATTAGTTACGGTTATTGAGGTAAATATTGTATAAAAATTAATAGTTGTATTAAATTCGAATATTTTTAGCTAATAGATAATCAACTAGTTATGGGTACCAAATCTGGCAGTGTAATATTTGCCAGTAAAAAAGATGGCACTATCCAACACACAATAGATGTTACCCATCAGTCAATCACTAGTATTGCTTTTAATAGTACTGGACACAATCAAAGAACATTGATGTATGTTGGCAGTTTAGATATGGTGCTGAGAATATACGACGTGAAAACTAAAGAAAAGTTAGGGGAAGATGGTGTTTCAGACCAAGTAAGGTGTATGGATTCCAAATGGGGTTTTGTGTTTATTGGTTGTAAGGATGGAAATTTGTTAAGGTACTGGTCAGAGGTAAGGAAACTTATTCAGACTCTATTTTGATGGGTTAATTTTGTTTCAGTAAATATTTTAATATGTATTGAAACTTTGTACATGTTTGATTGGGACTTATTTTGAACCAATATTATTTTTCCTTTCAGAAATCCAAAGTAGACTTTGAATTGTATAGTTTAAATTTGGAAATTTTCTCACTGAAAGCTACTGAAGAAGGCGCTCGAAGAGTGTTGATTGTGGGACATCGAGGCGCTGAAGTTTTTGTAAGAGATGCCATGTTTGGATTATTTTTGAGAAGTTTTTCCTTTGACAAGCCCACAGTGTATTCAATGGAATTTAATGGTGCGACTGGATATCTTTATTGCGGCACTGCACATGACAATGTGTTGGTGTATGACTTTAATGTAAGTATGCATGCCACTTTTAGTTTTTCTGGAAATAATTTTTGTATTTTAGCGAGGAAATTTGCTTCAAGTGTTTGCAGCCAATGACAGTGATCAGCCTCCAGGTATAAGTTGTTTGAAACTTTTCAAGAATTTTTTGTTTGTTGGCTGCTACAATGGATTTGTTTATGTTTTTAATATTCTAACAGGGGAAAAGATTGCGACTTTACCAGGACCTGGAGGTGGTATAATTTGTATGCAGTTATTGTCTCAACAGGCAAGTCAGAAAATATTTGTTTTTTCATTAATTAAAAGTCATTATTTTAGGTGATCCTTTCAACGTTAAATCATGAATTTAGTGCTGTAATTTTACCAGAAAATATATCCTTGAATGATAAAAAATTTCCTATCGCAAATGAAGACTGATCTGTAAAGTTTTAAACTAGAAATAATATATTTTATTTTTATGTCGCAATGTCAAATTGTTTTCAGTTAGATCACATTTAATTATCTCATCTCTTATTCGATCATAACATTATTTTCCATTGAATGGGGATTTCTTATTTAGTTCACACTAATGTATAGAACTTTTTTTTTTCATATATTAATAAAGTAAGAAATTTTAGAATATGACTGTTTAAGTGATACTAGCCTGACCTCTATGAGCCTGACCTTTTAGACCGTCAGATAGTGACATATTTAGGTGCCCTATTTTCGCATACAAGCCTCGAAGAGGGTTGAAAAGTACATCGATTTTGAGTAGGATGAAGGTATTTTTACGAGTGGCTCCTGGGGATAACATATGCCAAAATTCGATTTTACTTATGTTACCCTAAAATGTACTTTTCCATTCGCGACACTCAAGCCAATATGTTTTCTTGCTTTGTAGATTTTCATCCTTCCGATGGGCTTGTGTGGAAAAATCGCCCAAAATCTCAATTTTTCCTTACAACATTAGGCCCTCATTTCAAACCTTTAGCCACCTGCAACACCCCCTTCTTTGTTTTCACGAAGCCAGGATTTATTATTTATTCTTATGGTGAACACGGCTTGCGAGAAAATATGGGCACCAGGACGTCTTTCATTTCTGTTATGGAAAATCCAATTTTCCATATGTTATCCCTAGGAGCCACTCGTGAAAATACCTTCATCCTACTCAAAATCGATGTACTTTTCAGCCCTCTTCGAGGCTTGTATGCGAAAATGGGGCACCTTAATATGTCACTATCTAACGGTCTATTTGTATATTTTGTTTATACATATAAATAAATTTGAAATTGTTCAGCTAGGAAAAATGCAATTTTGCATTTAGAATCTCCACTAATGTAAATAAAGATAATTTTTCTAAAACAACTGATAAATCTAATTGAATAAAGGCGCAATACGCATTTTTTAATTCTAGGTTTATTTCTTATTGTAATGTATTATTAGGTCCATAATAGTAAAATAGTTCAATATGATGTCATAATCTCACATTATTACTTATTTGTACATATGTAATATTTTTTATTGTAATAGATATTAATGTAAAAGCCTTAGAAAATTTGTATTGTTAATCTCAAATGAAACACGTAGTTGACCATCAAACGTTTATTCTAAACTCCGCTTGCCAGGAGAAACATTCTACCTACTCGCCTCGCACAGGCCCTTAAAACATGTAACCCCAACCAATATAACGCATCATCTAAAAATAATCATGAGGTTTCCCAACTCGATTAGCAGGGTCATGAAGGATGATATCATTCAAAGTTCCACGTGTTTTACAGTTGGTCGTACCCGTACTTGACTACCTTTGCGTCCCCGTGAAGAGTGGCTCACTGTCATTTGTGAACAATTAAAAAAATATATATACTTGAAAAAAAAACACTTGATGAAACTATTCAGCGTCAGAACTGCTAAATAGCAGATTCTGAGACAGCAGTAATGAATAATTAAAAGTTAACTACTGGAATGACGTTACTTCTCATAATAATTCGAGAAGTTAACTTTTACTTATCTGTCAAAATAGTTTTATAATACCCGCCCTTAGAGGCAGTTGGCTTAAAAAAGCAGTAGTAGTAGTACTACGATCACATATTATTATCCGTCTTATTGTTACTCCAAACATTTCTATAATTTGGCTAAGACAGTTAACTACAGGTTTCTTTTTCATGTTGCTCAACACTTTTGAAAATGTAAATTGGGTGAATATCTCTACGACAACAATCAACAAATGGACCTTGGTCAATATGAAGAGTATCCATCGGTACGGCGACCTTTTCTTTTGCAATTGAAACACGACATGTGAAAAATCATGTTTGGAATATGTTTTCCTGGTGGTGGATAAGGTATTGCGTAAATCACCCTGCTGGATGGTCCCTCTTCTACTGAGATTCTGATGATTTAGATTTTGGATTCTCATTCCTTAGGCAGCGATCAGTCGCATACAGAGTACAGACTTGTAAAGGGACAAGTACCAAAAATAAGAGGTCATAGTAAAATAAATAGGGCAATTATAAGGGAAATCGGGGAGGGTCTAATCCACATTTTCGAAAACCATTTTGAAGCACATATTATACCAACGAGAGACCACTACAAACAAGGCCCGTTTATAAGGGCAGAAGGGGTATATTCCTTAAACAAAGCTTCAGGAGTCACGTAACAATCCGGGAAAGTTTTAATTATCAGGCATTTGCTCAACTAATGTCTCCAAACGTTTTACGCAATCTTCATAAACGGCTCGTTCCAATTCTAGAATGTTGTTGTTTGTAATCCTGGTACTTCTGCTCACTGACACACTTAGAGTTCCATTATTTAGCACATGTACCAACCAGTATCTGGGAAGGGCTTACATTTCTTTGATTTGCAGCTGATCTTCGAAGCAACTAGCCATATTCGCGTACTCTAGACTTCTAGACACACTATTATCTCGTCGACTATGTATACAGCTGGATGCTGGATTTTTTGAAACTGCTAAGGAAGGCGTAGGTATACCTTCATTCCCGATATATTTTGCGGTTTCTAGTGTAGTGACTACAGAAATTTTAATCAAGAATAATAAGGACTTACCAAACAACCATCCCAGGAAAGATCATCATTTAGACAGCACAACCAAAAACTTCAATTAAAATTTATCTGAACATGGATATCCAGAAATTATTGAAAGCCGATACCCTATATTGACTAATACATTGGAATGTGAATAAAGCAAAAGTTCATGGACCTTTTTTTTTAAGTGCTTTCAACAATTAACATTCCAAAGGAGCCGGAAAATTTCTAAAAGGATCAATAGAACATGCACGAACCTATATGATGATACCCACTTAACAAACCACTTAGCGACGCCCTTGATAATTAATTAAAAGGGGACCAAATGCACTAATTGATCGGATGATTCAACAACGAAAAATCGAGGTCAGAAAAAAATAAAGAAATTCAAGACAATGGAGGGACCAATGATATAAAAAGGCAACTTTGGCAGGAAAAAATCAGTGATCGAGAAAAGAGTGTTCGAGAAAGAGCGAATGAACGGACAGAACTACGGCGTGAAATACCAATGTCGGTTGAGTAATCAAGAAACAAGTAGTAATCGAGAATCGAGAGACCTGTGTCCAGAAAGTCAGAACTACGGCGTGAAAGAGTTGTCGAATTAATCGAGAGAAGAAGCACGACGTGATATAACAGCTCGAAAATATTCGACTTTTTTATTAAGTGTTCATAATTACAGTAAATTCCTTCGACCAATGAGATTTCCATGTATAGTCTATCGTTTCTCAAATGAGACAAGGCAAAAATTGGGGTATCCCCAAATTATCGTATTGCCCATTAAAATTATTATACTATTATTAGGAAAAATATATTGAGCGTGCCCGTATACATTGGACGCGAATCCACTTACGAACAACGCATCTTATTGGTTGTTTTATACAGTCAACGTTGACTCCAAGAATATCTTATTGGTTAGAATTTTTAGCGGCGTATTTCTTTGAAGAGGCGGCTTCTTTGGCGGCATATTTCTTTGTAGCGGCCGCCGTTTGCGAATCAGTTTCGTCTGGAAAGACAGTGCAGTAGATAGTTTTTATAAATTTGATTCCTATTTGAGTTATATCGTGCCTCATGTTTTATTTTAAATAAAACTGTTTTAATAAATTTCCCTTACTCCGCCGGTGCTTCATAAAGAAAACGCCGACAGCCAAAGGAATATTATTTTTTTTACTGTCTCATTTGACTATCGATAGACTATAATTAGGTGGCCAGCACTAAATATATTATTGTTAAATGTAAGTAGAGTTTTTTTATGTTCAGCCAGAAATTGTGAAGGCAAGAGACAAACTGTAAATAAAAATTTTTACCTACTTGGTATCATATAAATTTGCCTTAACAGCTAATTGATGCTTATTAGAAATCTAACAATTTTATTGTAAGATTATTTATTACCGACGCCTGTTATTGAATAACTAGCATTATTTATTTTAATAAAATAAACTTTATTTTAATTGACTACAATATTTCTGTGTTTTACTTTTCACCCGCAAGTAGGACCCATTTTAAACTGTGTCTCCATTCAGAAACTTCACCGCTCGCCAATTTAACATCTTGCCAAGTTTCTGAATTTGGGGTCTCACAACAGCAACTGTCAGTCTTCGATTATACCTACTGCAAACTACTGCATTTGAGCAAATATATGGATCCACTATATCTGTCACGGTTGTGAGACGGTGATCGGATCAACATACAACGCTCCAAGTTCCCCTGAGTTGACTTACAGGTCATTTGTAACAGTATATGAATCATTTCCAACCACCTCGCATCTGGTCGAAAACACCGTCTTCCTCCATCCAGTGACTCCAACAGAAATTGCCGACATCATCATAGGTCTCAAAAACAAAACAAGTTGTGGCCCTGATGGAATAAATACCAGTGTGGTAAAGAGGGTCTGTCCTGAGTTGTCTCACCCCTTAGAAGTACTAGTGAATAAATCAATCTCTGAGGGAGTATTTCCATCCAGCTTAAAACTAGCTACCGTAGTTCCTGTTTTCAAAAAAGGCCTGTCAACGGATATCGAAAACTATCGACCGATATCCATATTATCCGTATTTTCAAAAATATTTGAAAAGGTACTACCCAGTAGAATAACCCACTTCTTAGAAAGATTTGAAATCTTGGATGCATCACAACATGGATTTAGATCTGGAAGATCGACGGAAACTGCTGCGTACGAGTTTATTGAGTACATCCACGCACAACTGGAACAAAACAGAATCGTAATTGGATTGTTTTTTGACCTGTCCAGAGCATTTGACTCTCTCGACTTAGCTTTTGTCAGGTTAAAATTGGAATCCATTGGAATTCGAGGTAAAGCACTCTCTTTAATAATGTCCTTCCTATCAGAGCGAAAAATACAGGTGAGACTGGGAGAAGATCTGTCTGACACTCACTCTGTTAATATTGGAGCACCCCAGGGCTCAGTGCTGGCGCCGCTGATTTTTCTGCTCTTCATCAATGACCTAAAACTACCTGGCCTTACAATTAAGTTTGCGGATGATACAACTGCAGCTATATCGGCTGATAACAAAAAAGAAGCGATGAAGAAGTTGGATGAAATTTGTGACCATATGAGTTCCTGGTGTTTTAGTAATAAGCTTATTCTCAACAACTCAAAAACAGTAACCATACATTTTTATAACTCCAAACCGAAAATTGAGCTCAAGGAAACCGAAGAAGTTGTAAAATTTCTAGGAACTTATCTTGACAAACAACTTCAATGGCACACTCAAGTGGATCATGTATGCTCCAAACTCAATTCCGCCTATTTTGCCCTACTCAAGCTTAGACAAGTCGTCGAAAGACACGCGCTATTATCAGCTTACTATGCCCTAGCCTACCATCACATGTCTTATAATATCATTCTATGGGGACAAGCTGTTGGCGTGGGTAGAGTATTCATCATCCAAAAGCGGATAGTAAGGTTAATATATGGCCTTAAACCACAGGAAAGCTGCAGTCCAACCTTCAAGGACCAAAAACTACTTACTCTTCCGTCCATCTATATATATAAGTGTGCGATATATGTATATAAAAACAAAGATAGATTTATAAAAAATGGAGAAAATAATCTATATTCTACCAGGAAAAGCAACGAACTTGTTAAAAGCCGAAAATCCTACTACTATCTACCTATTTAAACAAGCGAACTATAATAGAATTGAACAATTACTTCAACAGTATTGAATGGAATCTGTGGACCGTGTTCAAGTAATAGTGACTCTAACGAAGCGGTCGCTAGTTTGTACGAAGTAATACTGTAAGGAATTAATCAATATGTTCCCAAAAAAATAATCAGGATCGGCAAATATCCCAATTGGTTCAACTCTGAGCTGAAAAAGTTAATTGCACATAGAAATCGATTCTATAAGAAGTATAGAAGATCAAGACGGCAAACGAACTATGAAGCTTTCTCTGAAGCCCGGGAAGACATAAAGTACGATAGTGACATGTGCTATCTATTGCATGTTACCAAACCTCAGCCTTTAATTCAGTCAAATGTGAAACACTTCCAGTCGTTTATAAGATCTTTGAAGAGAGATGCAGGCTTGCCGAATCAGATGCTTTCTAACAATATCCGTTCTTCGAACCCTCAACAGATTGCCGAACTCATTGCCACACAGTTCAAGAATTGTTACTTTGACTACGCGGATGTTGAGCTCAAAGTCCCTTTTGGAATATATAGGTATCTCTTCACGGTCGAGGAAATACAGAGAGAAATTCTG